AGCATCCTCCTAATCAGGAGACATAGCTATTCAGAGACAGGGCAGATTCCTTTGTCCCCTTGTCTTTCCTCGCCTACTTTGCCTCATATGAGTTGCTTTCCAAAGTAAATTAAACAGGTAATGAATAGTCTAAGCTACAAAATTCCAGATACTGTTTAAAGTATTCACAACAAATTATCTTAGAGAATCTTGGAAACAGTTAAGGGAGAAAGTCATATACTTGAATGAAAGTATCTCTCAGATCACTTAGATTATTACTCTAAAAGACACAGAGTAAGCTACTATTGCAAATTAAAATGTCATTTTTGAAAAATAGCAAATTAAATATTTTCTAGTATAACTTTACCTTTGTGCCAAATGGAACTGGAGATTAGCTTTCCCCAAATGAGAAATTGTCTTATACCAGCTTTAGGTGCACTGCATTACTGAGGATATAAGGAGGAATAGCTTGTTCCTGCCCCTCCACCCCCACCCCGTCCACTCTGGCTTCTTCCTTTCTGCTGTGGGTGAAGACCATCCAAATGTGTGGAACCAAGAGGCAACTAATTAAATATTTTCTCATGTCAATATCAGTTATCTTTTCACAATGATGTGAAATGAAGTAAAAAACAAAAAGACTCAACGGATTATATTAAATATAGTACAGAATAAAAGAAATTTATGCTGTTTTGTACTATGTTTAATGTAGTTCCGATAGTCTGATTTTTAACTAACACAGCTGGTCACTACCTGCATTTCTTGCTGCACTTGGATGTTTCTCCATGAAATTCTTTATAGAAATGACATACAAGTCTATAACATTAATTCCTACAGAAGGGAAACAAAATTTGGGACAGAGTGGCCTCAAGATGTAATGACTTGTCTCTTTTACTTTTTGATGCTAAAAGATAAATCAAGTGAGCCATATGATCACAAGGTTAGATAAATGACCTTCTATAATCACTGTTTTTCCAAGTGACAATGCAACACTAAACCCCTTTGCACATCATCAACACCAGGCACTTCCTACCAATTCAGCCCCCAGGATGGAGCTGGGCAGGAAAATCTTTTATGCTTTGCATAAAAGAGCCATTCGAGTATGTTGTTTACACCATTGCCCCACTATACTCAGTGCTGTGAAATGACTTTTAGCTGTCATTGGGGGCTAGTGCACTTGTCTGACACCTTGATGCACTTGAAATAACTGAGGTCAAGGCAGTGAGTTGGATGATTGCAGAACATGAGAAGAGATAGAAACTCAATAAAAACAAGTAAATCACTGAGAGGCTTCATCAGGATATCCATGCAAATACAAGCTATTTTTTCTATCAGTGTATATGAATATTACACTTGTAGAGAAGATAAACTTGTTTTTTAATCTTTCCTGCTTTGGCAGACTTTTTGTGTAGCTTTTAAGCTAGTATTTCACACCTTCAGTCTACCACGCCTCTTTCCTTCTGTTAATGCCTATTCCTTCTGGAGATGTGAATAAAATAAAATAAAGTAGTAAATGAGTTTTTGTGGCATTTATTTCAGATTTTTTTCTTTTTCTTTGTCTGTCTCTCATAAAAAATATCCTGGCCACAGCCTCCCCTCCAGCCAATTCTTCCAGTCTCCCCATACACCTCTGCTCTCCCCCTGATCCACTGCACCTTCAGAAAAGATCAGCCCTCCCAAAGATATCAACAGAATACAGCATAACAAGATGCAAAAAGACCAGGCAAAAGCCCTCTTCTTGAGGCTGGATGAGGCAACCCAGTAGGAGGAAAAGGGTCCCACAAGCAGGCCAAAAAGTCAGAGACACATGCCCCCACACTCCCACAGTTAGGAGTCCCACAAGAAGAGCAAGCTACAAATCTACAACATATATGTAGTGTAACTAAGTTAGACCCATGCAGAATCTGTGATTGCCACTTTAGTTTCTATGATCTCTGTGAGCCCTAATTAGTTGATTCTGTGGGCCAGTTCTTCTGGTATCCTCAATCGCTGTGGCTTCTGCAATCCTTCCTCCTTCTCTTCTGCCAGGTTCCCTGATTTCTGCCTAATGTTTCACTGAGGAGTATTGTATTAGCTCCCATCAGCTACTGGAGGAAGCCTCTCTGATGATGACTGGGAAGTGGCAAGGCACTGATATATGAATATATATGAGTGTATCAGAATATGATTAGGAATTGTTTCATTGACATTTTCTTGTCAGTTGGGCTTGGTTCTACCCTAGGTTTCTGAGCTGTCCAGCTACCAGATCCTGGCCATCCAGGCAATATTGGACATGGGTTTCTTCTTGTGGCTTAGGAGTCAAGTTATATCTCGCATTGGTTGGTCACTCCTACAAGCTCTGAGGCACCATTACCCCAGCACATCTTCCAGGCAGAACAGATTGTAGGTTGAAAGTTTTGTGGTCGAGTTGGGGTCCCAGTCCCACCACTGGGAACCTAGCTTCATTACAGATAATGGTCAGTTCAGGAAAGTTATCCTCCATTACTAGGAGTCCTTTCTATGGTAGCCCTTATAGGTCATGAGAAGTTTCCATTGCACTAGGTTTGTACATTGCTCCCTAAATTCTCACCTATTCTAGTTGTCTCTACCCTGTACTGGTACTCTATCCCTCTGTCTCTCCTCCCCAACATCATCCCTCCTCTTCCTATCCCACCTGCCCCACCCACAAAATTTATTCTGTTTCTTTTTCCTATGGAGATCCATGTGTGGACCCTAGATTTCTCCTTTTTTTTGTTTTTTGTTTTTTTTTTGTTTGTTTGTTTGTTTTTCGAGACAGGGTTTCTCTGTGTAGCTTTGCGCCTTTCCTGGAACTCACTTGGTAGCCCAGGCTGGCCTCGAACTCACAGAGATCTGCCTGCTTCTGCCTCCCGAGTGCTGGGATTAAAGGCGTGTGCCACCACCGCCCGGCTAGATTTCTCCTTTTTATCTAACTTTTCTGGGACGGTGGGTTATAGCATGACTATCCTTACTTAACAGCTAATACCCACTTATGAGTACATATCATGTTTATCTTTGCCCTTATTAATTTGTTTCACTCATCTTATTTATTCAAATATGTTTTACTGGGAATAAAATTACATTGTTTTCCCCATCCATTTCCTTCATGCAACCTATCAAAGAAATCTGTACTCCAATAACTCTTATGTGTCCCCCACTCAAGATGATAGCTTCTATTTATTTGATGTTGTTGCATATGTGTGTGTGTTCACAAATATATAATAAGTATATCCTGTTGAGTCCAATTATGTTGTTTGTATATATATGGTTTCAGGTCAGACTCTTCTGCATTGGGCACTAAATAAGGGGGCTTATCCCTGGGAGAAGCTAAATTTTCTTTTCCCAGCAGTCATTGGTAATCTGAAAGTCATTGTGTAGGCCATCCCAATTTCATAAATGGTGGAAGAGAATGAGATGGATAAGTCAGAAGCAAAGGGCATTATCATTCTTAGGACTGTGAATATTATTGCTTAATATGCAGAGTCATTCCAGTTAGAAGAGTCCAAAGATTCAGATACATTCATTTTAAAATGGAATTGAAAGAAAACATTCTAAACCCTTTCCCTGAGAGGGGGTATTATCTTAACTATACTGGGTGTGGAAGAAATTCAGTAAGTCTTAGAATCACTTTATCTAACCTTCAAGCTTATTGACTATGTAAACACTGAAAACAAGAGACTTCTAGTCCCCTGCTTGTGGGACGTGGAAAAATGTGTGAGAAGTAGAAATAGGAAAACCTGGAGTAGGAGAGGTGATCTTCCCTAGGGAAGAGCATACTCTTTTGTTGTCTAATGCCAAAAAGTTCAAACCTGAAGACAAACACATGCAAGTAACATTGTGTGTACTCAACAGATTATATCTAGGAATGCACACACACACCCATATATGCACATATATTTGAGTATGTTCATGTGTGTGTATTTCTGTGTGTATGAAAAGAGGCCATATGTTTGAAAGAGAGCAGGAAGGGATATGTGGAAGGATCTAGAGCAAGGAAAGGGAAGGAGGAAGTGCTGTAAAAATATTACAGTTGCAAATGATTCTATATAGTAGAAACAACATTCTCCTAAAATTAGAGCAAAGCACACTCAAAACAAAAATGTGAGAATACTGATTTAACCATTAAAATTAACAATGGGGAACTTTAATAGACCTAGCATGTGTCACATGCCCATGTTGAATTAATAAAACCTTTATTTGGACTTTGTCAGTATGTATTTTTTCCTAGGTATGAAGGAATAAATGTCTATTTGCCCCAGATGAGACCAAATAAAAAATTTCACCCAATTGTACCTTGTTAATAAAATAATGAGTTCATTGGAGTTACAGGGAAATGGACCAGGAGTTACTTGCAGGATTACAAACAACTGAAATGCAGCTTCTTCACTGAGAAAAAAATTCACATCAGCATGTGTCACCACTCATGAATACTGTACCTGTGGACTCTGCTTAATATGAAATGAGATCAACAGTAGATAATTGCCTTTCACCCAGTAACCACTTGCTGTTATAAAACAGTGATGAAGAGCTGTGTGAATCCTGTAACTTCCTGGGCTTCCTGAACATAGAAGTGTCATGGGCATCCTGAGTCTTTTAAATTTTCTTCCTGAGTTTCATGAACCTGCACTCTCCCTCCAGGAGGCAATGATTCAGTTCAGAGGAAAGGGGCAGACAACAATCATCATTCACCTTATCACTGTCCATAGTCATGCTTCCACTTTGACCTTTCAGCTACTGCCACTAGTAAATGCACATCAAAACGTGTACTAAAGCTTTACTCCTAGAGATACATGCAGGGGCAAGTGACTGGTCCTGTACGTTATCCATGTCCTATGTGGGAATTCTGCGTGTTTTGTTGTCTGTTATCACTCTGCATTGCACTTTCATGTCCTCAGAAAGTACTCTCAAGGAAACCTTGTTTCCTCCTCAGGTGACCTATGCATGAGTTATAATGTATAACCCAGTCTTTATTGAATATTTTATGCTTATTAATCTAAAGACAAGGAAATACAACATACAGCTATTTCATTTTGTGATCTGATTTTAATGTATATTTTTTCCATTTTCTTAAAGTCATATGTTGATTTGAATGAGTAGAACTTAATATATCAATTTATTGTTTTGCAAGAACTAATGCATTCTAACACTGTGTTTCCATGTTTATGAAGATCTCCACCTTTCAATACATCGAAGCACCTGAAATAAGTTAGTATTTTCCTCTTTATTCTGTGTTGTTTTATTTTGTTCTGTGTTCATTCCTTGTGGTAACAGACTCTTGTTCTGTGATTGTGAGACCCACACCTGCAACTGTGCATTCCAACCTTTGTATACCTTCTCACTGCTCTTCTATCTAGAGCCAACTTTCGCCTGAGGTCTGTACATCCCCAAGAAAGAAGCAAAACTTGTCTCAGTGGTGTTCTTCTTAAAAACTGATTCATTTCAGTCTTCTTTTTGTCTTCATATTCCAACATCTGTATCATTATGTAACATAGAAATTTGAATTTATCACATTAAAAGTTGAATATAAATGTTCGTTAGTTAAATTCAGATTTATCATTTTATTGAAAGACTCAATAATTCAATACCTTCATTGAATACCTTAAGATGTATATACTTTTGAATTTAAACTATTTTACAGTATATTATAAGATATAAAATAACTAATTTGTACTCTGAAGTATTCCTCAATAAAAAAAAAACATGAATTCTGGACTTTTAAGTAGTTAAAATAAAGTTGTATTTTAATCATAATCCTCTATTGATTCTTCGGGAACTTCATACCATGCACCCTAATCCTACTCACCTCCCAGTACCTCCACATCCTCCCTCGGACCTCTGCAGTATCCCCCCTCAAAGAACCACCCCCAAATCAATTAAAAGCAGAAGAATATACACACAAGAAAAACCACCTCACTACTCCATGTTTCCAACACCTCTTCATTCATCCCAGTGGCATATATGCTGGCGTGTGTCATGCAATATACACCCTTGCATCCAATCAGCCCAATCCACAAAATGTTCATTGACTTGAGTCATCGAACTGGTTCAAGTCCTCAGGCACTCCATCATCACTGGACCACCATCAAAACTCCTCCCAGACATCCTGCCACCTCCCAGAATCATGAAGAACCTGTGACCACTGTTCCACAGAACTAGTCCCCTCATGAACCCCAGCAGGTCATACACAGGCAGATGTAGGTGTGGTCCAGTCGTAGGTTTGGTGGTAGCTGATCAGTCCAGGGCCACAGGTACCGCCTCCCTTAGGCAAGATGTGGAGCCAGCCCTTCTAGGTACATGCCATAGGGGCCAGCTCTCCTGCTGCAGTGTTCAAGGAGGGGCAGGGCCAGCCATCCTAGGGACAATGAGGGGTGGAGCTGGCTCAGCACAGCCCTCAGATTTCAACATCCTTGGTTCCTATGACATCATCACAGACCCCAGCTACTGCAGGACCATGGACAGACACAGCCCTCTGCAGTGGCTCTGGCCCAGACATCACTATGGCCCCAGTGGCAGCAGAGGCCTTTCAGAGCAGCATGGTTCTTGGATGCCAGCATGGTCTTGGGTGTCTGTCCAGACTCTGGGCATTTGTACAGCCTTCAATGACAATAGGAGCCATGGACATTAACCCAGAACCTGGCTGTTCCTGGGCCATAAAAAATAGTGTTTTAGAGAATTCCTTCTTAATTCCTCATACAATTCCTCATTAAGTCCTAGAAATATACTACTTGTTAATACTCAATTATGTTACACTTTTTTTTCTGTGAACATATTTCTGAGAACAAAAAATAAAGTGGCAAATTAGTGTATCTAGAGGATGGTGTTAGAATGATTTAAGGTAGAGATTCTATATTAACAATTCTTTGTTAGGGCTAGAAGCCATAATCTCACCGTTTATCTTTCTAGGCAAGCAGCATTTAAACTTAAATTGTGTTCTTGACACATTGTGTACAGAGGTTTACATATGCTATTGTCCAAAGTGCAAAGAACATTCTTTATCAAATTGATAGAAAGTCCAAAAAATATCCAATATCCCTTTGTTTTAGCTTTGACTACAAAGTTGAGAATTCCAACCCAACAACCCTGAAGTAACATAAAGCAGTAAATTAGCTGCCACTAAAACAGAATTACAGAGAGCAAAGATGCCAAGGGGTGTGATAACTTATGTCCGTGACTGAAACACTCAGGAGTCAAAGGCAGAAGGATTATTCACTCTGAGCCTGAGAGGAGCAAGTTCTGTAATTTCCAGTGGAACATGGGACACAAAATGAGACAATCTCTCAATAAAACTGAAAAACCAATTGACAAGCAAAGTTACCATGACTTATCTGAGTAATTTATTCTGTATTTGGTTTGGTATTCATAAACATAATATAAGCCATGCTTTGTACAATAATTCTTTTTTATTTTCGAAATTTATATTGATAAATCACTTAAATTAAAAGTGCAATCAATATGATATCTTCAAATTTGTATAATATGAAGTATTACATTGCTATGTATGATCATAGCTGATAAGATTAAACCTCATTTTACTTGTGTCTATGACATTAAAACACTAAATAGGTCACTCTGCTACATGATAGTAAAACCACCAAGTTCCCCTTAGCACAGTGATAGGTTTTGAAAGTCAAGTACTGAATTACTATCTCGGGAAAATTCCAAGGAGATAATCTCCCACAAATATTCAGTAACATTTAGGTCCAATACAGAACATGTGAGAGTCTAAAAAAAGAATAAATGTCAAACTGGCAGGTAAGCTCCCGAGACTCCTACCCAATTCCTATTTTTAGCCATTGTAAGAGAGATAAAAGGCTGCTAAGATTAGATCCCTGCTTTTGGCAGTCCTCTCCTTTTGAATTAGCTAGATATCCCTGACCATTTTAAGTACATGGTAGGATTTTGCTCTTAGTGCAGTTTCTTTTGTAATGTAAATTAGGATCCACTGGTGTATAATAGGTTTGCTAATTAATAAATGAGGAGGAAGACTTTGGAGAGAGGTAGCTGGCTATTCCAAACCAGTTAATTTTTGTTTTCATCATAGATGTCTGTATCTTGAATCTTGTAATTATTTTGCATCATTTTAAATATATTGTAAAGACAAATAAAAAGGAAACAAATAAAAGCAACAGACTTAGGTCACTGTGACAGTAATATCCTCATTTCCACTCATGAATTCTCATTTGCTTCAATGCAGCCAAAATTTAGCTAATAGTATAATTTCCCATTTGTTACTCTAAAATCTTGCTTACAATAAGATAAGAAGTAGAAAATTTAAGAAAATCACTGAGGCAGAAATTAGAATCAAGTATTAAATAGGTAAATCCAGATGTCAATAACTGTGGGAATGAGATACATAGCAACTGTGAACCTTGGGAGACCAGGCTTCTGTTGATGGCATTCAGAGTTGTCCTCCTTGTCCATGGGTTCACATTTCACAGATACAGTTCCCTGCAACCAACCACTCATCTGCAAATATTACATGGAAAATTTCATCAACAAGCAATTTCCAAGTTTTAAGTTGTATTCCACTGTGTACAGCATAACATAATTACCTTACCTGCTGTCTTTCCCCACGTGTCTCTTCAGCTACTATGACCAGCATGTACATGTTGCATATGTAACCCCTCCATTCATCACCGAGTAACAATTAAGTTGTCAGACTTTTATAGATCACAGAACTGATATTCCAGTCACCCTTACCTGGCGGCCAAGTGCTTTGACACAATGGCTATGTCATTCATTTCAGGTGGCTATATCATGTAAGCTCTGCAATATCTCATATAATTGCAGGAATTATGATATACTGTTACATTTTATAAGGCATGCTGTGGGACGGACTGTATGTCAAATTGCTCTGATTGGTCAATAAATAAAACACTGATTGGCCAGTGGCCAGGCAGGAAGTAGGTGGGACAAGGAGAGAGGAGAATTGTGGGAA